TCCAGAACTGAATTCTTTAAAACAAAATGGCCGCCAGTCGGCCATTTCGAACCCGATCCAAAAAAAAAATGACGTGCATCAAGGTCCTATTATGTTTAATGTATGTACCAAATTTGAACAAAATCCGTCCATGCATAACTGAGATCCGGGTCCGGAATGGTGAAAATGTGCGATTTTGATGCATTTTCGGCCTTAAAATGGCCGCTATTCGGCTATCGTTAATCGGATCATGAAAAAAATGCATGTGCATATGTCCCATATAATGTGTGATGTATGAGTGAAGTTTGAACTCAATCGGTCCATGCATGTTCGAGATACAGGTGATCACGGACGCACGGACGCACGGACGCACACAGGGCAAAACATAAGTCCCCGTTTTCGGACTGCGTCCGAACGGGGACTAAAAAGTACTACTGTAAAATCTGTATTAGAAGCCGCGGCTTCTATTAAAATGGTACAATGCAACCAAGGGAATGCGGCTTCTATTAGAGCATCTACACATATGAGAAATGATGATTTTTTGGTTCTCAATTATTCAAAAAGAATGGGTGCGACTTCTATTAGGGATGCGGCTTCTAACACAGATTTTACGGTACTAGCTGTCTCAAAATGAATAAAAACATAATTTACTTTAATTTATTATATTTTATTAATACCTTTATTTTATACTCTTTTAATCTCATTTAATTTTTTTATTTTTTCATTGCTATACCTTTATTGTATTCTATAATCAAAGTCCCATAGAGGATACGATAACAATAAAGATGATTATTATAAAATTATACAATAAAATATAAAATAGTTTAAAATGAAAAACGGTTATGAGTCAATCTCTCCTAATAGATAAAATGTTATATAAATATTCTCCAATCTGTCTGACCATGTTTGTCTTCAGTTGTACCCATTAGGTAAATAAAGTTCCACTCATTTGTTATTTTTTATTTTTTGGAAGTTCAACAATTGAAAGAAATTATTATCATGTGAACACCAAACCCACGAGTAAAGAAAATAACTAGCCTCTGGTACAGCATGGAGCTAAAATACCTGGATACAGGTATGCAAGTCCGGGGTCAGAAAGTTCATTCATGTTGGAAATTAATAACATACACCCTCCCCAACCACAGTGCTTGTCCCTGTATTATGAATGACTGACCAGGATCGGCCCACTGTAAATGACTGAAGACCTGTTAAACACTTGAGAGCCTTGGCAGGGACGTAATTTCTCCATCTTACTTCTGTGAGAATATGTCTAAAAATGTACTTATTGTGTTAACAAGTGCATTCCTCCCTCTATGTCATGTTTATCATCAATATGAAACTTACCTTTACATGTATGTTGCCTTCTTGCGCGAGTTTACTTATCACACTTCCGGTTCCTGGGGCCCTCTCTCGTCCATGCGAAAGGTCACCACTCGGGAAAACTTCGTGAAAATGCTGGTAAACAAGGTTGTTGAATTTATTTAATGTAAAAATACATACAGCGGACCAGGGTGTTGTTATTGTTACATTAAAGCCACAATTCTGTAATTTATCCCAGAGCACGGCACAAATAAGCCCATTTCTCCCCCGTCAAATACTTTCCGAATAATCCCGAACGCTGCTTCGGTAATCTCCGTATGCTAATTTGCCACGTGAGACCCAGCTTGGGCGAACGAGGCGATAGAATCTGAAAATGGCTGCGAATAGTTATTTTGGTTTTACCCATGGCGGGACTCAATATACGTAAGTTTAACTATGGTGTTGATTCTTAAATGTGAAACTTAATGTCTTTACTATATGCAGGTCAATTGTAATCGTGTATTTTTCTTGATTTTGGCCGCAGTTACGTATTTTGTTTTGCTGTTTTTTTTCAGACAACGCGTCGCCCTCTTTCAATGGTGAGTTGAGGCTCGATGGGGTTTTTGATGTACAGGCGAAATAGTAACGTCATTTCTCGTCTTTTAGATACATCCAGCCTGGGCTCGTTTTCCACACTTGCACGTATTTCTATGAACCTATCCAAGACGGCTGCAAATAGGATGCACTTGTTGTGAAGAGCCTATTTTTTGTTGGTTTTGTATTTCAGAATGCACTCGTGAGCAAAATACTAGCAATCCCTGTTTCGCCACTCGTCATCGCTACAGATGAATAAATTATATAACACAAGTTTCTCGTACATAGTTTTACATGTTTACTGAATATTGGGGAACGTATGTTGTCGAAAATGTATTGAGTTTCGATAGTATTGTCTTCTTGAAACGTATCAAAAATTCTATATTCTGTTATCGGTGTATACACGGCATTTGTTTACGGCTCCAACGTACCGGCATAGAGAACAAAGCCCACATGCATATGTTGTCGCCGGTAGATTAACACTATAGTTGTAGCCAGGAAAGAATTCCCATGAAATTGTATTTTATCAGACTAGCTCCACATTTCACAATATAGTCTCTAATAAAATAGGATTGAATGTTCTGAAGGCAGTCAATTTTAAGATCACTGAGACAGCCAGACTAGTTGTTTTAAAAAGCATCATTGTAGATCACATAGGGTTTCTCCAAGTTGTTAGTTTGTTTGGCCTTTTATGAGAGCTAAATTTGCGCGAATGTCTTTATTCATTTTAGCCTCTGCATCTACTGCAGAATTACATACTATTATCACACACAAATTTAACATTTTACTAGAATTCAATTTTAGGCTAGAATTGGTAATTTTTCAGGTAGAGTTGACTTTGTTAGACTTGCACTTTTCTATTCTTAATGTTGACAGAGGGCCATAGAAGTAAACAATGATTCACCTTATCTCAAGTTCACATACATTTGGGAATTCATTCTCAGCTAATTTCTTTTTTTTGAACTTCAGAGTAATAGAATGAAAGCTGGTCACTCAACTAAATACTGTATAGGCCAAATCAAATAAATTCTGTGTTTCTGGTAACCACCTACCTATCCATATTGTGATTTTTTTTTTATTCAAATGCTCATTATTTATTTTTATATGCTCAGCACTTAATAATCAAAAAAATTTACTTTGAAGTAATTTTTCACATCTGTAGTTGATAATTGTTTTACCTATAACCACAAAGTACAAGCGAATTGGTAAAAATAAAAGTAAAATGAAAACTCTGGCTACCTACCCAGTATTTTTTAGCTTGTTACTGGAAACACAAAATTTCTTGGGGGCCTTAGTTGGCAGAGTAATACCTCAGTTTCTGTTCTGCGGAAACTGAAGAAAGCATATTTTGTTTATTTCCATTCGTTTTTCATTGCAGTCAACAACCTGGATCCTATGCCCATACAGCGGTTACTCAACCACCAAGCAACTATGTTCACCAAGCAGCTGCAGTGACACACCAAGGCGGTTATGCTACTGCTGCCCCAAGGCAAGCCCCGGCGACTGCATATGAGCAGACCTATCCAGCTACTCATAGCACTGGACAGTATGCTGGTTACAGGTGTGTGTACTGCAAATCAGTATTATGATTACAATTAGTGACGACGTGTATTGTGCAATTTTTTTATTATCATTTGGTTTGTTTTAGATAGATTTCCAATAGCGTTCCAGTAACTGCATACCGCTTTATTATGTTGAATATGATTTTCATATGAGATATTTGTTTTGTTTACTTATATTATTTTTGGTAAAATTTCACCATTTTTGCTTTCATTTTGCAGTATACATCGTGCACAAGAGGTACCACCCCCTCCTCCACCTTCTGCTACAACCCAGACATACAGGGATACGTATAATTATGCTCAGACAACTACTCCTGCTGCCTATGATAAGACGCAGTATTATCAGCAACCTCAAACTCAACATACAACACCTTCAACTGATGCCTATTATACACAACAGGCAGGTATGTTATCAGTGGGTGTTCTTGTATCTTGTGTGTATTTAGTGTCATCTTAACTTTAATTAGCTTTGGTGTCATCGTGGGGCCGTTTATAGGAGATTGTCTGTTGCCATCTATCAACAATTCTATTTTCGAGTTCCAAATACTTTGATACTTGATTTGTAGGTGTCTTTGGTGGACCTGTGTCAGATTTGCTCATTTGATGACAATATCTTTAATTCTCTATTCTCAGTGAATGTTTTTTGAATTTTTGGTAATAAAAGCTGTTTTTTATTGCTTTGATACTTAGTATGAATGAACCATGGGGTCTACTCAGATATTTGTAACTAGACGATAACAATTGTGATTGCCAAGGCAACAACTATATACAAGTAAACTACTATGGTTGTGAATACAACATGAACGTGTGGAAACGATGAGCATGGCACATAGCTAATATCTCATTGTACACAACATTGTCAACTTGAGGGTTACTCTGTATGAAGACAGTGGGGTGATTTTGACCGTGGGGTTGCTTGTACAAATTATGGATTTATTTCTTTTCAATGCCACCAAGTGATGGTGGAAAATGTTGAATTTTATTCAGATGTAGTAATTTTTATAGCGACTATAGCCCATAAACATAAAATGATGTAGTAAATTATTTTATTCCAAGTGCTTTTCAAAAATAAAAATCTGCACATTTCTCTTTTTATCAGAATTATATGGAGACTTTTAATCGCTAACCAACACTTTGTGATTATTATTTCATCATCTTTTCAGTGACCATTCCACCAACAGTTTCAAAAACTGGATATACTACAGCAGCCCCTGCATATACTGCAGCAAGGCAGATAACAACACCAAAACAAGTCCAAGTATCAACTGCAGCTGCAGCGTCTTATGCTTATCCAGTTGTTACCACTCAACCTGTGACACCAGTGACCTACACCACAGCTACTTATCAGACCACTCCGTCTGTCACTTTAACTGGTGAGTTATTTCCCGGGCTCCTGCTAAGAATAAATTATTTTTAGCTATTTTAACTAACACTACATTGATTTCTCTTTTAACACATCTGTTGAAAATAAATAGAACAAAATGTGCCTGCAGGCTAACATGTTCAGAAAATGCTGTATTATTAAGTTAACATTTATTGTTATTGATGATTCCTTACTGTTTCCATGTCCCTTTCAATCAGGGGCAACCTATTCTGGATATGATGCTGCTATTTACTCTGCAGCAACCTCATATTACCAGCAACAACAAGCTCAGAAACAAGGTATAACATGGGGTTTTAATAAGAAGCCTCAATATGGTCAAAATCAGAAGAAAAAAGAAAAACCACCACCAAAGCAGCCCCAAATACATTACTGTGATATCTGTAAAATTAGCTGCGCTGGACCACAGGTAATAAATTATCCTTAAGTTTCAATACATTGGTGCACACAGCACTGCAAGTTTTTCAGCAGAAAATGATTTGATTCTTTAAAAATAATTAATTTCCTATTGCAAATCCCTGTTGTGTATTCCCCTCCCTCCCCCCTTCTCTATATAATGTGTTGAAGATGGAATAATTGTGACCTTTATGACAATAGTATTAGGCCAACAAGAAGTGGAAGCAGCCAAACATTGTATTGATCCAACATTGTCTACTATATTGTGCCCTGTAGCCTTGATTGTCATTCATTCTAGTTTCCAGTACATTGTCATATATATTGATTCTATTTACTAGTCTGACATTGTATTTGTCAAAGTAACTTGGCGTACATGAGGTGCCTTCCATTTGTATTTTCTATGCCTTTCATATGCTAAAATGATTATTTTTTATAGACCTACAGAGAACATTTAGAGGGCCAAAAACATAAGAAAAAGGAAGCAGCTGCCAAAGTTGGTAATACAGCGAGTGGCAGAGCTGGGGCCAATACACTGAGATGTGAGCTTTGCGATGTGA